TTCAGGCCAGTCGAGTCCCTCACATATGGGCTCGAGAGGAACTGGTCGGACTCGTCACCTCCAAACGTCCGAAACGGCCCGGCACTAATCTACAAGCTCCCGGCGCTGGAAGATCGAGCAAAGCAGGCGTACAAGGCGACAACTGAGGGGAAGTTTAGCGAAGCTCTCCGCCTCTTCCTGAGCATCCTCCACACCGTTCCAGTGATCGTGGTGGACAGCCGCAAGGAAGTTGACGACGTCAAGGACCTCATCGGCAAGAGCAAGGAGTACGTCCTTACGCTCAAGATGGAGCTCAAGCGCAAGGAGCTCAAAGACGAGCCGGTCCGGCAGGCCGAGCTCGCGGCCTACTTCACTCACTGCGACATCCAGCCTTCTCACATCCGGCTGGGACTCCAGTCGGCCATGGGGGTCGCGTATCGCTGCAACAATTTCAACACGGCGGCGCAGCTGGCGAGGCGATTGCTGGACATGAATCCAAGCCAGGCCGGCATCGCCAAGGCGAAGCAGGTCCTCCAGGCGTGCGAGAGGAACCCCCGCGACGAGAACAGGATGAACTACGACGGCAGGAACCCGTTTGTGGTGTGTGGAGCGACGTTTACGCCCATCTACGCGGGAAGCAGATCGGTGTCGTGCCCCTACTGCGCTGCTCGGTTCGTCCCCGAGGTGGCCGGGCAGATTTGCAGCGTCTGTGACTTGGCGGTGGTGGACGCTGATGCGTCCGGGCTTGTGTGCTCCGCGACTCAATCGCGATGAGGTGGAAGAACATCATGAGGTAAGAAAAAAACATTTCTCTTTTTTACTTCGTGATAACTCTTTTGTTTGCTCTGGCAGGACTTTGGCTTTCTTTTGTAGTACCTTCTTCGTGAAATAATTTAATGAAATACTGTACCAGAGTATATCAAGAATAGTTAATGAGTGCAAGATTGTGCTAATTATTATTCTATATATTATCATGGAGAGCAGCAACTATATTGACACTGTTAGCACATTACATTTGATCGGTCAACATGCAAGCTTTTTATCACACGTCTTCTAATGCACATTGTCCAGGTACGGTATCTTGAATGGGATTGGAAATCCAATTCCGTCAGCGCAGACTAGGTTAATCGATAATAAATTGGACGACTCACAACGTTGTCCCTCTTCTGATTCTCTCTTAAACTCAGCTCCAGATTTTCCAACTTGTAAGTCTAAGAAATGAGAGACTGGGAGATTAAAAAACACGATGGCTGCCGCTCTCCTCCCTGCTACTAAAGCAGAGTTTCTGGTCCTGCTTGCGACACCATCAAGAAACCACCGGCATTGGAGGAGAATGAACTTTGATTCTCACTACTATACATCTTTGTAAAGAGCAACAATCAAGGGTGCTTGAGCTTCCTACTGAGGATTTTGGATTATACACAGTTGCTATTGGTTAACTACCACATTGGACATCTTGGAAGCATATGAGCAGCCTGATCCAAAGTTGGATGTAGTGGATGAGAAGAGTGAAGATGCCAATACGCAAGAGAAACTCTTGGATACGCCTCACTTACAGGTATTTGGCCATGGTTTTCCAGATTCCATTCATGAGGTTCGCTTCATGGTTTGCCTTAAAAGAGTTCTCCAAATGGTTTCACAGGTATATAGTACAGCCTCAAGAGAACACAGTTTTTGCATTGTGACAAGGCATGGCAACAATTCATTTGGTTCAATTTTGGGAGCAAGCACATAGCAAAAGTAAGCATGACAATAAAAAGAGAAAGAGAATTCCTTGCTTGCTTAGATGCTTTATTTCGTTAAAGTGGAACTTTTCATTATCCCACTTATGGTGTGTGGCCACATGCCATTTTTATAACAACAATAAAAAATTGAAGTTTTAGCTTTATAATTTATAAATTAAAAACTTTTCATATGATTTTGTGTTATAATATTGTGAAATATAAAAAATATAGAAATATTAATAAATATTAATTAAGTACTAGGAAATGGCATGTGGACACATGCTAATTAATGTCCCACTTTACTGAATAAGTTCCACTTTAACGAAATAAAGCATTTAGTGCTTCAACTTGCTGTGTGTTGAGTGAACATCAAGCAACTACTTTGTTTAGTATAATTTATAAATATAAAATTAATCTTATTATATATCACTTTATGATAATTGCTATTATTCATTATTGGGATGATGCTTTCCCACATGTTTCTAAAAGATAATGAATTAATTGTATTGTAAGGATTGAAGTTTTCTTTTGGATATCTTTAAGTGTGCATTTGGACATATTAATGATTATTATGATCTCTATTAGGAGTTGTGGAACCTTTTGCTTCATGAGAGTCAAATATGTTAGAGTAAATCAAATTAAGTATATTATATTGAGCACTTCATCAAATCATATGGGATATATATATGCCAACCATCCTTGACAATGCTCTTCGACTGGTATAATATCATGAGATATAATGCATTGGTCATCAAAGGATTTCAAGATTTTATAAGCAAATGTTAAGAAGATGTTAGAGAAAAGTGTTATCTAAAGTCTTTATTTTGTGACAAAGTTTTATAGGAGTATTTGATTCTATCATTTATTAAACAATGTGAATATTCCATATATATACCCTTACACTAAAGATCTTTTGGATTGTTTGGGTAAAAGTTATTAGTTCATCCAATTAAATTTTTCTTTTGAGTACTAATAAATCTCAATGGCTAAGAAAGATGTTTTAAAGACTACTTTTTGTACACTTTATAGTTTGTGATGATGCCATTCAATTTGAATAATACTATAATGGCGAATGATGGATAAAATTCTTTTTATGCCAAAGTGATTATTAATTTTATTGATGATGTCTTGATTCATTTGAAGGAATATAAAAGGAGCACAATCATGATGTTTACAATTAATTTAAAGCTGAAGCGGTTGAAGTGTGTATTTGGGTTTAATAACATAATTTATCTTAGGTATTATATTTTTATGAGGTCTTACAAGTTGATCCTAACAAACAAAATGTTATTCTGAAGTTCTCCACTCAAAAATGTATAAACAATATGTAGTGTTTCCTTAATAAATACAATATTTTAATTGTTTTGTTATTCATCTTTCTAATTGTAATATGAGTTGTTAAAGTCATCAACAACATCTTTTATTAGGTATGAAGATAATAAATAAACATTTGTAAATCTTAAAGAAGTGTTAATAACTTCTTCAATTTTGGCATGTGGATGCTTTTAATATTGATCTTGAAGGTGTGTTGATGTAAGAGAATATAAGTGTACTTGGTCAACATCATCCTATTGCATACATCAGTCATATATTACAACTAATAAAGGTGAATTACTTTATAGTAGGAAATGAGTCTTTAGCATTAGTTTGGGTTTCAAGAAGCTTCATGTGTACTTGCATAGTTCTTATATGTTGTTATAAGGTGATTATGTTGCAATTACTTCCTTATTGAAGCAAAAAAATTTAGTTGATCATATTGTTCAGTAGGCTTTAAAGTTTCAAATATATAATTTCAGGGTTTTTCATTAGTCGAGGAGTTTATAGTTGATATTAACACCCTTTCTCGAACTCCTCTCGCTTTTTACTTTCTTATTTTATTTTGGAGGAGTTTGTTATTTTTTGCATTAATGGAGTTTCTAGATGACAATTATATATCGTTAGTGGTTGTTATGCTTGATGGTCAATATTTGTAATGTGCAGAGTTAGATTTACCTTCTTTAAACAAGGTTTATGAGGCTTAAAAGGTTAAGCCATAGATTCGAAGGCTTCATAATAGATTTGAAAATCATGTTGTAAGCAACCAAACGGAATGGCTCAAAGGACAATCCATAAGAGTTCAAATATAGAGGGAAAGGACTTATGAATAAAAGTGCACCCCTTTTTCCAAACGATTAAGGGTCTTGGGATATTTGAGGTTAAGACCCTAAACCGTCTTTGAATTTGAATAGTACTAAGCTGAGTGACCTTCCGAATCCAATAGCTTACATTTGGTATCAAAGGGGTCTTGAGTCCAACTCTATTGGTTAGCTTAGGGGAATCACACTACATGTTGAGATTGACATCTGGTAGGTCCAGTTTGCCTTCAGCTGGGCTCAACCCAAGTAAACTTGTAGGGAAGTATGGTGGATTGTAAGCAACCAAAGGGAACGACTTGAGAAACAATCCATAAAGGTTCAAATATAGAGGGAAAGGGCCCATGAATAAAAATACACCCCTTTTTCCAATCAGTTAAAGATATTAGGATATTTGGGGTTAAGCATCCTTAGGTTTGAATAATACTAGGGTGGGTGACCTTCCAGGAAGTCCAAATTTAAGAGCTTACACATGTATCACTTTTTGATTACTTGCTATTTCAATATTTATATTCTCAATATTCGTAGTATAGGTGATTTTGGCCATATACTTTATTATAGGATAACTATATAGAAGAATTGGTATCTATGTTAAAGATAACAAAGCATAACCCAAGTTTCAAGGCCTTGGGCCATTAAATAAAGTGGATAAGTCCAAAAATAGAAACTTTTCAAAAAGTTCTCTATATATATAGTGTATATGGTTTTCACCCTTTATCCTATAGTGATTTATTATAAGAGTGGAACATAAACCCTCTATGAGCCACATGCCACATGCTATGTGCCACATACCATAGGTCCTAAGGGCAGGAGAGTGGAACCTAAATTTCAGAGCCTTGGGCTATTGAATGAAGGTATGGAGCCAAACTAGCCAAGAAGCAAAAGAACTGGAGCACGGAGTGACTTCTGAGCATTCAACCCAAGGAGCGAAGGAACAAGAGCATAGAGTGGCTTAGAACAGTTCTAGAGCATCCAGCATCCCAATGCCAAAACTAGCATGCAAAACGGAGCCAAACAGATTCAGGTGTTATTTCAGCATATCGGTGGCCTAATATAAAGATATGGGTACTCCACTAGCTAGCATGGTGTGAAACTTAGGCTTAAACCTAAGCTAAACGCAAAACAAGGATAAGTACACAAGCAGAAATTAGACTATATCCTAAGTTGGTCAACCATACCCAACCTACCCACTTGTAAGTGACTAAATTTTCCATTCTACTTTAGTCACTTAACCACACTTCCGACCACTTGGAGGAGTCTCACTCACAACCTTTGTAAATCTTATTTTGGACTTAGGGATTTGCTAGCCCCAAGAATGACATCCATGCCACTCAACCATTGCACTTGGTCCAAGTGCTCCACGTGTTTGATCCCATGACCGACACCCCAAGGCACCACCGACATATCAGCTTGTTATGCTAAAGCCATGCCTATTCACCTTGGTCACACTGGTGGTCTAATACCACCTACATCACAGCCCTGTCTTTCAAAGACTGGGCCATCTGTCCATGAGTGATCATCCTAGATCCACTCCTTAGCATCCTTAGGATGCTTACAAATATAAAGAATAACCTTCCTTAATATCCCTTTTTCGTTTGCCACCAAATCCCTTTCCATCCACAGCTGTGTTTGCCAATATTGCCATTGAGTCAGGGCTTAAAGGCCCAACCACTACATCCCATTAACCTCTGGAACTTCCTTGCCACATGATTGCATCCTTGGTCACCACACAAGAGGATTGCTCCTCTTCCTTTCCACAGTCTGGGCTTTTGGGATAACATTTCGGAACACCGTGGCCCTACGTGAGCCTCATGGGTACTCTCCCCACCTTCCACCTTTGGGTGCTCTAGCCATGGGCTTAGAGCGAGGTTCTGTTAAGCCATGCCATGTATCCAAGTAGGTAGTGCCACCCACACTTGGACTGGGAGCATCAACCATTTGATCTCCCAGTGGAACTAGAGTTGGTTCTTGAACACTTCACCAAGTTACCCTGCTTGTCAATTCGTATTCACTATAGCTTTGGACTTCCCAGTGGTTATCCCATCACCCAACACTTGGGTACAACCTTCCTAGGACAAACTAACCTTTCCTGGCCAAACTAGCTCCACTGGAGTCCTTCCCCTACTATACTTTTGGAGCTCACCAAACCCC